TACAACTTGCTGACTCATTCCTATTCTCGACCTTGGTTGTACTCAAGCTTGGAACGCTTAAATGAACCCTTAAACAGTGCTAGAAGTTAGCAGAAACGAGTTTAACATAGATTAACTGACTAGATGTACCAGTTAGAAGTTTCGGGTTGTCATACAAAAATAATTAACAATTAGGTATATAAACACATAATTATATGATAAAATTATAATTAAATACTTACTTATTGATCATTGGCTACATCACTAATAAATACATCATTCTTATCGGTGTGAACAACATGTTCTTATCGATGTGAACAACATGGAACGCTTCAACTTTCTTCAGGTTCTGTTTAACATTAAAAATTAGATTATATTTTAAATAAATTATTACATGTATCGTACGTTGCCTTTTTATAGCAAGTACTGTTATAATACGAGCTCAACTCCTCACCGTTTGCCATGTTCACAGACTTTTTTTGTTTGTCCGTTTGGAAATACTCAACCGTTTGCCTATATCTTTTGTGGGTGGCTAATGTTCTCAAGATATCATCATACCCTGCGACTGTCAAAAAATATTTTTTGGCGTCAGATTTACGATCTCTAAAATGTTTTCTTAAAGTCGCATCAAAACTCTCTAACAACCTAGCACTCTCTGGATCCAGGGAAACCCGGTCCAAATCAAAGTTTATGTACAAAGACAAAAAAGTTAGTTAAGTAAAAACTAGTCATAATTAAATATATTAAATATTTTTATATAAATAATTTACCCCGATATGTTGTTTTACGGCATCCTATAACGTGGGGAAACTTTGTTCCAAGTTCTTCTATCAAAAGGGACTAATCGACACATTATCTTCCCAGTCTCACTTGCAAACATGTCCTTAGGTTCTCTTACAGGATCATATGTAATATCCCTATCAAATTCCAAGTCTATTGGTTTGCCCTTATTTTTTAAAAGCGCCTTTTCGAGCTTAATATTTTTGGTTTTTCCTCTAGTTCTCTTTAGTAGAACAGCTACAAATATAATTAAAATTTATTAGTAACGATAGTTTATAATAACTGAATAAATATAGTGTAACACCTAATTCAGGTATGTGATCTTTTTATGTTTTTGATTCAATTAAAGATGTAAATCCACAAATATTATATGGTCACGACATGAGGAAGGAAGCCTCACGACGTAACCATCATTGTAGAAACGTGTGTCCACCCTTGAGGGTCATGACATGACGTATAAGTGATCATGACGTCACAAGTGATTAACCCTAATTTCGTGTTTTTCACCCTACTTAAGGGAAGTGAGGGGCTCTTTTTGGTGGTTTTTAGCTACTTGTTGAAGAAGAAGGCTCCTTTGGTGCGTTATCTTGGCAAGCAAGTCTCCTCTTCACCACCTTGTATTGTTTCTGGACCTTTGTAAGTCCTAAAGCTCTTACATTTCTCCTTTAAGCATGCTAGATCTAAGTTTTATTCACTTTTCTTCATGATTGGGTTGAGTAGCATGCATGGGATCCATAAAGTTAGCAACTTTATGGATCATTGAGGCCCTTTAATTAGCATAGGTTTCAGATTTGAGGGTTGGTGATGGTTTGGACTCCATTTATAAGTTTTGGCTTCACTTTCTCTTTATTTGACCTAGTTACTGTTCAAGTCATGCATTGCACATGCATTACTACAAAGCTACAGTTTTTATGGTCCTTTGGGTTGAGGAAAACCTTTTGGATGGTTTGTAGGATTGGCTTAAGGGATTAAGAGCTTAATGATCTAAGTTGTTCAGATCATATCTCACGACATGAAGGGTTATGTGCCACGTCGTGACTAGGGGTGTTTACGTGACTGTTTTGTTCTAACCCTGTCACGATGTGACCTATGGGTGACGACGTGACAAGAAGCTGAAGTTGACTTCAACATTGACTCTTGACCATGGTTGACTTTTGAGTCAAGCTATGGTTTTAGGGTGTAGACTGAAAGGGTACTTCTTTATTGTTGTTAAGTGTCTTGTTGCTCTTGCCTACCCTCTATGTGTGAGAGTTGTGGCATTTTAGCTGCTATTCGCGAGGTGAGTCTTCTCTCTATAGTTACATGTATGCAATGTTTTAAAAACCAATTTTTTAGTTGAACCGGTATGGTGACCGATTTTGGGTTTAACCGGTTCGATCGCCGGTTCAACCGATTTCTACAATTTTCATATTTTTTCTATTTTTCCTATATAAGTAAAACATCTACATGTTTAAACGTTAAAAATACATGTAAATACAAGTTGGAGATCAATCCAAATACCTTAAAAAACACATAACCATAAGTTTTGCATCAATCAACGTACTTCAAAAAGAAATAAAGTATAATATGGAAGCAAAATATAGTTTTAGATGAATATAAACGTATTAAAAAACTTCATAACATTACCATGTATTTTTATTCAAAAAAATCTAAATAGATGTGAAACAAAAACACCAAAGTTTGTTATGCAAAATGATCCATTTCCATGTGTTTTTATTTAATTAACCAGTTCAATCGGTTTAATTTAACTGGTATAACCGGGTTTTTGCAAAAACCGGTCAGTTCATTTCGGTTCAAAAATAGACATAAAACCGGTGTTAGTTGAACCGCTTCCTTCTCCGGTTCCCAGTCCAATCGGTTCAAACCGGTTTTTAAAACACTACATGTATGGTTGATATGCATGCTGACCAGCTGGGTCTTAATTTCTTATTGTTGTTATATGTGAATTAAATTGAATTGCTGACAACTTTGGGATTGCTGAAAATCCCCAGGGTTGTTGATAACCCTTGAAATGTGTTGTTAATCCATCGGGCGTGCTTTTAGCTCACTGAGATTGCTGATAATCCTCAGGGTTTCTGATTACCCATATTTTTTGTTATGTTGTGATGTATCGATATTTTGGGAAGGACTAACTAAGCTTTGTGCTTACAGTTATGGATTAATGTGTTTCAGGTACTTCAAATAATCGTGGAAATGTGAAGGCTTGATTGTACACCCGACTTACAGATTGTTATGATTCTCTATTTTGATATTATGATTAGGTTGATTGTATTTGATGCACCTAGGTTTTTATTGACTTGGTTTTTTATGATATTGGGATTTTTCCATAAATAAAAATGAAAAACTTTATGGTAAAAATTGGGATGTTATATATATAGTAAATAAAAAATCCTAGTAAGACTTACCATACTACTCATGGTGACTAAGACCACTACCGCCTAGGTGTGGTGGATCCCCGACTCCATCACTCACATGTCCGCGACCCATAACAGCAGTCATTGTGTAAAGAAATAATATCTAAATAGACTCCATTATCGGAAAAATTATAAGATATACAGATACAGTTTCTATTACAAATACACATTACATAGATCCAAAAGCAAAACCAAATATACACGAAAACTTTGGTTGGGTTGTTTTGTATTGTTGAAATGAATTGGCTGCATAGGTTAGGTCTTTATTTTCAAGTTTTCCTTTCTTAATTTCCACCCCTCTTTCTTAATTTCCATGACCTATCTACCTCCTTCACCTTTTCTTTTTCTCCTCTTTAACTCTTCCTCTTTCAACATATTAATTGTTTCAAACCGACATGACACGACACATTTACAATGTTTAAACCCTAAACCAAAAAACCGATAACTCTCGACACGAAAATAAATTGATTGATACAACACGACATTATAATTAAACAGGTCAAATCATGATCAAACTCTCCGTTTAATGTTTCAATTCAATACGAACCATATACCCAGATGTACATTTTTCTTTATTTGTGAACTAGAAAGGTTACCCCCGCTACGCGGGGGCCAGAAGCTTTCAATGTTGTTTGCGAATTGATAAATATGACAGACGTAGAAAGTGCAATGATGAAAAGCCCAGACTTTGCCCCGGACCGTTTTTTTCATGTTTTTATGAAAAAATGTAAAAGTTTTGACTGCAAGGACCAGAAGTGTCAAAATGGCTAAAGAATTAAAGGGGTAGGAATTAGCAACTTTTTAGAAAAGGGATCAAAGTTGTCAAACCGTTAAAGTTTTGTGGCCAAACTTTAAAGATTAAAAGGTTCCTAAAAAGTGTACAAATATTGATTGTAAGGACCAAAAGTGTCAAAATGGTTAAAAAATGAGGAGCAAAGTTGCCAAAAAACATCTAGTTTTTATGAAAAAATGTAAAAGTTTTGACTGCAATGACCAGAAGTGTCAAAATGGCTAAAGAATTAAAGGGGTAGGAATTTGCAACTTTTTAGAAAAGGGATCAAAGTTGTCAAACCGTTAAAGTTTTGTGGCCAAACTTTAAATATTAAAAGGTTCCTAAAAAGTGTAAAAATATTGGTTGCAAGGACCAAAAGTGTCAAAATGGTTAAAGAATGAGGAGCAAAGTTGCCAAAAAACATCCAAATTTATTATTCCTAACTTTGAAGCCCAATAATAATACAGGGACCAATTCCGCCAAAAAAATGACAAGTTTACTATTCCTTTTCTTCATAACTTTAATATATATATATAATAACTTTAAATATCAAAAGGTTCCTAAAAAGTGTAAAAATATTGGTTGCAAGGACCAAAAGTGTCAAAATGGTTAAAGAATGAGGAGCAAAGTTGCCAAAAAACATCCAAATTTATTATTCCTAACTTTGAAGCCCAATAATAATACAGGGACCAATTCCGCCAAAAAAATGACAAGTTTACTATTCATTTTCTTCATAACTTTAATATATATATATAATAACTTTAAATATTAAAAGGTTCCTAAAAAGTGTAAAAATATTGGTTGCAATGACCAAAAGTGTCAAAATGGTTAAAGAATGAAAATCAAAGTTGCCAAAAAAACATCTAAATTTATTATTCATAACTTTGAAGCCCAATAATAATATATGACCAATTCTGCCAAAAAAATAACAAGTTTACTATTCCTTTTTTTCATAACTTTAATATATATATAATAATATAATAACGTGATTTTGCCACTTTAAGAAAATATAAATATGTATTTAAGAAAAAAAAAAAGTAGGCTTTATTCACTTGATGCTCATGATACTTGCACGTGTACGGTTCGGTTTAAGAACCATACGACGCCGTCGGATGGACCTCGTTCCGTGTAGCAAATATCATTGTTTACTTCTACTAGTGCCGCTCCAAAAGCACCCCAGGCATGTGCTTTATCCTCTCCAATCGGTGGATCGCCGCCGTGGTCATCGTTGCTCCACACGGACATTCCACCGTCATCACCAAACTCAAGACTCTTCTTCTCAGTTTGAGTCTATAATACCAATAGATCTGTGTGGTGCTGGTTGGTATGTTTTCGATCAGAATAAGAGACAAAAAGGATTCCAGATGAAACCTCTCTCGATCAGGTTCAGATTTTACAATTTCCTCAAATAATTTTCGTACGCCTTTCGATTTCTGAAAATTTTACTTTTTTTTTATCTTAATAATATGTTAATTCGTCTTAATTTGGTGTTGAAGGTGAAAGATTTTGTGAGGTCAAAATTTAGGGATCTATAAAATTAGATGGCTGATAACATGAACGATGATATGGTTATGGATCTTGATTTGAACCAAGAGCCATTAGTTGACCCTCCACCACCTCCGCCTTTTGGTTATGGTCCTTTGCTAAACGAACTAGAGACCGCACATGGCAGAATCGAGGATCGAATTAGGCAACTTGAAGCTGTTACAGCTAGGGCTAGACAACGCCAGCGATGGCGACAGGCAAGGAACAATCCGGAATTGAGTTACATGACAGTAATCGAGCCAGATGTTGGTGCAGGAAACCAGAATCAAGACGACAATAATGTTCGTGATGTGGATGGAATTGTAAACACTCCTGATGGTGTTGACGAGAGGGCTAATGGTGAAAGAGGGAGGAACAGCAAAAGAGATATCAGCCAGTTGGCAAAAGCTTTGGAGATGGATTTAGATTCCAAGAAGACAGATAACAATGGAGGTGATGATGATGAGAGTGGGGGATTCTTCGATTGTAACATATGCTTGGAGATGGCAAGGGATCCTATCTTGACTTGCTGTGGTCACTTATTTTGTTGGAGTTGCTTCTATCAGTTGTCATATGTAGATTCAAGTGCAAAAGAATGCCCAGTTTGCAAAGGAGAAGTAACAGATTCAAGTATTACACCAATCTATGGAAATGGAAAGAATCAACCAATCTTGAAGTTAGAATCCGGGGTGAAAATCCCTCCAAGACCTCGAGCACGCAGAGTAGAGAGTATACGTCAGCAAAGGGTAATTAGGGGAATCTCTCATATTCCTGTAGCAGAAGCACTTAGAAGAATCAGAATTGGAATCGGTTCAATTGGGGAAAACCCTCTTCTTCAAGGTCTCAACACTGTAGGAGGAGGAGGCCCTACTTCTGAAATAAACCCATCATTGTTACATTCTTCTGAAGCAGCAGGGGGTAGTAGAAGACACCGTTCACGTCCATTCTCAAGGGGTAATATCGGAAAGTGCTGCTTCTCTTTCTTCTATTTCATCTGCCCTAAACAACGCAGAGAGATTGGTTGAAGATCTTGAAACATACATCAATGATCGTCTTTTGAGAAGAACAGATGCTTCACAGATTCTACCAGGTAATCAAGAACGCAACACTTTTCTTCCAAATGGTGGTGATATTCAAGTTCAACTGGAGCCTCAGAATGCAGAGATGAATATGAGTCCGAATCCTGCTGTCCCTGTTTCTTCTAGTTCTTCTCAAAGAGCGATTGCTACTACTGTTGTGCATTTGGATAATCTATCAACTGATAGTGCTGTAGAGATTGATCTGACTATATCGCATCCTTCTTCTTCTTCTGCTAGGAGAGCTGCTGTTTCAAGGGCGTTGAGTTTGGAAGGTGGGACTTCCAGGGAGCTCAGGAGGAGACGATTGAGGTAATGTGTTCTTTTTTTTTTTCTTTTTTAGAAATGAGATATGAAGTGAACAAAACCAAAACAACCCAGTTGCTTAAGATTTACATTTAGTCATGTTTTTTTTTTTTTGTTATTACATTGATTTTTCTTTTGGATAGTGAAGTGAACAAGAACATGTTTTAGATGTGGAGAGTGCTGCTATCTGTATGTCATTTAATATATCATATGTTTTACAGACTGTGCTTAAGATGTGGAAAATGTAATACCTGATCTCATTTGTTGCTTATACAAAGTCCCTGTGTCATTACTATTTAAAAGCTGAATCAATAATCTTGTTACATCAGAATTATGATTTGAAGATGAATAAAAACTTGCTTGAAGCTTTACACAATCTTTTGATTTTGGTAACTTTGATTGTCACTGATAGAAATCCTAGGATAAAAATCCTTAATGCTTACTTATTGATTTGGTTCCTGTGCTACAAACTCATCGACAAATAAACCTTTGAATCGAACCTATGTTGACCTTGTTTGTTGAGGCTGGGAGTTGGTATATTTCTTGTCCGAAAATTGTTTGGGTGACATTTACATTTCCAAAATTATCTTTTCTAATAAAATCACTAAAATTTTGATCTATTTTTGAAAAACTCATTGTCAAATAAAAATAGAAGTTGTTATTATGACAAATTACTAATAAACTAGGATATTTTGTATTTTTTTTTTTGTCAATATGTTTTGTTTTTGTATATAAAAATTATTATAGTTGAAAAAAAAGACATATATCCTGACCATTACTATTGCTTGATCAGGTTTATGATGTTGATTTTTTCCTTTTGTGCTAAAGCTATTTTTTTTAAACCTCCGGTGAGTGGTTAGATAAGTAGTTAGGAGCTTGTATCACAAAGTTAATAAAATTTGTTAATGTCCGAATTAGAACCCTCAAACTTCAATCTAATAAACATGTAAAAGTTTGCTAGTCTCATATTGGCTGATATGTTTATTTTTTTAATAAATTATTCGCTATAAATGGATTTATAAAACCATCCAACTTTAACTAAAATTTTCTAATTAAACTATAATAAGAAATTTTTTTGCTTTTGTTTTGTTAAAGGTGATATCATTTTTGTAAGAAAAGGTTGTGAAAATAAGGAAATTTGTTAAATGCGGTCTTTTTTTTTGTTTTTCCATTTTGTATGTTTTTTATTTTGGTATTTTTTGGTCAAAATAAAAGAAGAAGAAAATGACAATGTGAAAAAAAACTCTTCTTGGGAACTGATATTGGCAACTTCATTGTCGATTTCATTCCTGCGCGTACAAGCCACTCGACGGATAAACCATTTTGAGCAAAGAAATAAGGAACAATACTGGAAAACTCTTGGGTTTGCAAGGAGGAGGTTTGACGGAACTAGATTTTTCTTATTCAAATTTGGTTTTGTTTTTGGAACAAAAACGCATTTGGCCTCGTTTGTCTAGTGATTTTTCTTGTCGAACAATTATACAGGTAACTAGGGATGAGAATTTGGTCCGGAAACCCGAACCGAACCGAATTAGGTCCGAATAAGCAATTTGATTCAGGTTTCGGGTATATCTATATTATACTTATTCGGTTCGGGTTACCCATATAAGAGTTTATTCGGTTCTAAATACCCGAACCGAATAAGCATTCCTCGTCCCCTTTCTCTTATCGACATAAATCAAAATCATGATTCACATTTCTGTCCTCATTGTTCATAACAACAACAAAAAAAAAAAAACAAAAACAAAAAAACCTACGCTCGTTCTTGTCGTTTCAAAATCGACCAATTTTCTCAACTATTTCCAAACTCGAAATCACTTCTGTCGATCATTTCTCTTGTTTTAGACTTTCAAAAATCGACCATTCCTATTTAATTCCTATTTTCTCTTGTTTTAGACTTTCTTTCAATGTGTTATTGTGTTATGTTAGTCTTTGAATGTTTTATGTTGATGTATAAAAGTACATTGTTATTCTATTATTCGGATTATTCGGGTTATAGAATCTTAATTCGGTTTTTTTCGGTTATATTAGGTCATTAATCATCTTCTACATGTTATTCGGGTTATTCGAATAATAACCGAACCGATTAATACCCGAACCGAACCAAACCCGTATTGGTTAATCGATTCGGTTTTCGGTTCATGCAATTACCCTTATTCGGTTTTCGGATTATTCGTGTTCGGGTCGGTTCGGTTCCGACCCGAATAACATCCGTACAGGTAACCTTTAAATGTCCAAAATTAACTTTTCGAACACTAATTCGCAATCTATTTTTGAAAAATTCATTTGCAAATAAAAATTATTATTATGACAAATTATCAACAAACTACAACATGTATCTTTTTTTCATTATATTTTATTTTGTTACATAAAAGTTATTCTATTTTAAAATAAAACATATCTATATCCCGACCATCGTGACCTCTACTATTGTTTATCAGGTTATTATGTTGATTTTTTTTCTTGTGTTTGGACATTTTATTTACTTTTTAATAAATTATTCGCTGGATTTATAAACCCGATAAAGCAATCTATTTTCGATTTTTTTTTTTTTGATTTTATTCTTTGGTCAAACTAAAAATAGAGGAAAACGACAATGTGAAAAAGAAAAATTATTCTCGGAGAACTTCCTTGACGATTTGTTCCTATCGTACAAACTCATTGACTGATAAACCATTTAATCGAAGAGATAAGAAAGAAGACTGGAAAATTCTAGGGTTTGTCGAGGCTGGAGAGTGATTTTTTTTGTCGAACAATTATTCACCGATAAATGTCCAAAAATAACTTTTTGAATAAGATGACTAAATTTTAAATCTATTTTTAGAAAATTCATCGTTAGATAAAATTTATTATCATGACAAAATACCGAAAAACTACGGTGATATTTTGTATTTTTTTGTCACTATATTTATTTTGGTACACAAAAATTATTCTAATTTGACAAAAAATATATATATCCCAACCACCATGTATATATATTTTTTCCTTTTGTGTTAAGCTTATTTCTTTATTTTAATAAATTAGTTTTATAAAATCACCCCAACTCTAACAAAAACAAAATAATTAAACCATAATAACAACTTTTTTTTAATTACATTTGTACCAAAATTTTCTCATCACCTTCACCACCACAAAAGACAAAACCAACCTCAAGTATTAGGCTAACCATCATAGAAAAAGAAGCTACGCGTGACATCTGTAACATCCCAAAAATACAGTATAAAAATTACGTTTTAGTTTAATAATAAAAACCATATATAACTTATTCTCTTAAAAATCATAAGTCATGTATCAAGTCTCATGTCAAAAAATATCAGAGTATAAACATCCCAGACTAAACAAATGGTGTGTGCACTGCAATCTTCCCGAGCTACTCTTTTGAAAACTGAAATATGTGAAACCAAAACTGAAAACTGTAAGCACGAAGCTTAGTGAGCTCCCCCAAACTACCACATATCATACAATAACATATAAAGCACATACTGGGCCTTGCCCACTGCATCGGACCAAAGTCCGGAACTGACTTGGGCCTTGCCCACTGCATCGGACCGAAGTCCGGAACTAACTAGGGCCATGCCCACTGCATCGGACCAAAGTCCGGAACTAACTAGGGCCATGCCCACTGCATCGGACCGAAATCCGGAACTAACTAGGGTCATGCCCACTGCATCGGACCGAAGTCCGGAACTAACTGAAAATAGCATAACATAATCATAACATATAACATAAACACATATACTACATACTGCATCGGACCGCAGCCCGGACTAACTAGGGCCTTGCCCACTGCATCGGACCGAAGTCCGAAACTAACTAGGGCCTTGCCCACTGTATCGGACCGAAGTCCGGAACTGCATCGGACCGAAGTCTGGAACTGACTGAACATAGCATAACATAGCATATAATATGAAAACATATACTACATACTGCATCGGACCATATTCCGGAACACATAACACATACCATGCCTGTATCACAAAGACACCAAGCATACTGAACTACTGCATCGGACCGTAGTCCGGAACTACTACTAACTAAACGGGTCAGCATTGTGGTCGTAGACTCGTTCCTACTGGAAGGAAACTCACCTCACACTGCTGAAGTCCCGCTGATAAAACCATAGCTGCTCGATGACAGATTCCCGATCTGTCAATATCAAAATAACACTCAATTAATAATTGGGTTCCACTACATAACTATAAATACATACTTTGGATAATACTACATTACCCCTAGCTTGGCTTACCCAAGCCTAAGGCCCAATCCATAGGCCCAAAGTCAACTAGGGATCAAAGCCCAACATATGGCCCAATTTTCCAAATTGGGCCCAAACCTCTACATGGACTTCCCTTAAGGCCCAATTGTTCAGTCCAGTCCAACATGTCTCATTCTAGGGACCCAATATCATACAACCATCTAGGCCCAAACTATGGCCCATCAATGGCCTAATTTTCCAAATTGGGCCCAATCCTTCCTATGGGCCTTACCCTAAAGCCCAACTAATTACTCTAGTCCATTTGGTTATTCTTGGATGGCCCATTAATAAACCAATTACCAAAACCCAATCGAAAGGCCCAACTCAAGACCCAAGTGAAACTAGGGTTTCACATAAAATGACGATTAGGGTTAAGTGTTTCTTACTTAACCCATTAAGGACTTAATCCATTAAGTCCTTTACTCTACTAGATAAATGATAGGGAGACATTGGGCTTAATACACAATCCAATCTCAATAGCCCAAAAGTGGGTCCAATAAGTCTAAGGCCCAATTACTCACAATTAGGGTTTCCACTCAAACATGGCCCAATAGGCCCAAATTAATCTTTAAGCCCATTTAGGGTTTTGGCTAGGTCCATTAGGGTTTTGCTTGTGGGGCACCACCCACTACCACCTCGGGTAGTGGTGGTCCATGGCGGCTCTCGGCGGCGGCCACCACCTTACGGTGGTGGTTTTGCGTTTCTTTTATTATTCAAATTGCTAATTACAATTACAGTTTTTAATCCACAAATAAACACACACACTAACTACTCTAACACACACATGAAGCCATTCAAGTGGTGGCTGACGGTGGTTCAAGGCGGCAGCCACCACCTCACGGTGGTGGCAGTGGCTGTTCTTGGGAATTCTGGCTAAACAAAACACACACACACATCACACATTAAATATAAAAATATAGCCCCACACACGTTTCTCATTAATTTGCACTATGGACCCAGCCACCCACCTGGTGGCTCACGGCGGTCCGGCAGCAACAGCGAGATGGCATCCTACAGTATCAACAGCGGCACGGTAGCGGCTGACGACATCAACAGCTTTACAGAGGTACAACCGCATGGCGGCGATGGCAAAAAAGAACCCAACAGCCCCAAACGCGATCGGTTCTCCCACGACCACAGCGTCGGTCCCTGAGGTCTTTTCCCGGCTACAACAGCGCCCGGTGGCAGAAGCTATAAGTGGAAGAAGGCGAGGCGGCGATCGATCGTTTATCCCTCCGGCAGCGGGTCCGCCATGGTCTTACGGAGGAACTCTCGGTGACTCACGTCGTTGCCGGCAACAAGTCTTGATGGTGGCGGTTCCATGGCGTGGCGGTGGGCGGCGACCTCGATGATCGGAGATGTGAGAGCAAGAGGGGCGGCGGCGTCGGAGAGAGAGAGGGAGTCATAAGGTTGGCGGCTGCATCATTTAGGGTTAGGGTTCGCATGGGTGGAGTAGGGTGACGAGTTTAATACCCGATCACACAACTTTGTGATCAATTAACATCTTTGGTCCCGCCAATCCGATTTCTTTTCAATATAATCCCAAAAGTTACTAAAAAGCCCCTCCTCCACAATTTATTCTCAATTTGAATCCAACACTTACACTTTTAGTCCATGACTCCATAAAATCTTTTCAATTTAAATCCATTAAATACCAAACGTACCCTTGCTTCTAAAATTCTTCTCAAAACAACTCCGTAATTTACTAATCAACCCTCCACTATTAAAATTCTTCACAAATTAATTCTGGGAATTACATTTATTAATTTATTTAAATAAACGGGGCGTTACAACATCCTACGCGGCATACAAAGTCACGTGTGAACGCCGCCCCCAAAAGGTGTAGTTGTCATGTGCAGTGGTTGGGGCTACGCTCGTTTACAAGAGTTTTGATTGGATATTCGAATTTTTTACCGCTAACTATGTATACGTTTGGAATTAAAAAAAATTAAAACTTAACCCATTAACCTATATATGCGAACACTTAAACATATTTTTACATCCTTCAAACACACTCTTTCAACCATATGATTAGTTTTTTTTGCTTCAATTTCTTCTTCTTCATTCGATGATGATGATGTTGGTTTTACACACGTTGTTGTCAATGGCATACAACATGGTGCGTCTGAATAGGGTTCCAAATAAAAGGAACAAAACAGTCCCATATGAACTTTGGTTCAAAAAAACACAAATTTAAGCTATTTTCGGGTTTGGGGATGTCGGACTGTTGTAAAAATCATCGAGCCCAAAAGAAATACTTTGGGAGAATGTGGAATAGCATATTCATTGGATATGCTAAACATTCCAATGCATAAAGACTCTATGTAATAAAAGCTAATGATTCGGTACCGATTAACACCGTTATCGAGTCACGGAATGCAATTTTTGATGAGATGCGTTTTTCATCAATTCAAAGACCTAAGGATCTGACTTTTGGCACTAATAGAGTGCAAAATCCAAAAAGTCAAGATGATTTTACTGTTCCAGAAACACAATAGCTTTGTAGTAGCAAAAGAGGTCGAATTGCAAAGGATTCCGGTTCCGACTTCTAACTGTATTTGGTGGAAGGTTCAAGGGATGCAATAAGTCTTGAACACTCATATTTATATAGTATTAAGTATGATCCTAAGACATATCAAGAGGCTATGGAGTCTCGGAATGTCTTTTGGAAGGAAGTGATTGATGATGAAATGCAATCAATTACTGAGAACAACATTTGGGTGTTGTTTGATTTGCCTCCAGGTTCTAAACCACTTGGTTGCAAATGAATATTAAAAAGAAAATGAATGTAAATGGGACTATTGACAAGTTCAAATCCCGGTTGGTCATTCAAGACGTTAGGAAAAAACCCGATGTTGACTATTTTGATATGTATGCTCTGGTTGCACGAATTTCTACTGTTAGATTGTTGATTGTCTTGGCAAGCATCCACAATCTGATTATCCATCAAATGAATGTTAAAACAACCTTTTTAAATGGTGAAATAGATGAAGAAGTTTACATGAAACAACAAAAAGGTTTCGTTATGCCCAATAAAGATCATATGGTATGTAAACTTATAAAATCTTTGTATGGGTTGAAACAAGCACCCAAACAATGGCATCAAAAGTTTGATGAGGTTAATTTTTCATCTAGTTTCAAGTTAAACCAATGTGAAAAATATGTTTATAGTAGATTTAATGATGCTACTGGTGCAGGCATGATCATTTGCTTATATGTAGATGACATGTTGATTTTTGGTACTGACTAAGATCAAATATATGAAACAAAGCAATTGTTGTCATCTAAATTCTCCATGAAAGATTTGGGAGAGGCTGATGTAATTCTTGGTATAAGAATTAAGAGGGTGAACAAGGATTTTGTAATGACTCAAAGTCATTATGTTGAGAAAATTCTCAAGAGGTTCAATTTTAGTGATTGTTCTCCTGTGAGCACTCCTATGGATTCAGGTGTGAAATTACTGCCTAACATTGGCATTACTATTTCACAATTAGAATACTCTAAGGTTATTGGTAGTTTGATGTATGAAATGAATAGTACCAGGCCAAATATTGCTTATGCAGTGGGAAAGTTGAGTAGGTACACTAGCCTAGTGCTCAACATTGGCAAGCGGTCAATAGAGTGTTTAAGTATCTCAAGGGAACCATGGATTATGGGTTGAGTTACTTGGGAAGTCCTTCGGTCTTAGAAGGTCATTCAGATGAAATTTGGATAACCAACATGGAGGACCATTCCTCAACATCTGGTTGGGTATTCTTGCTTGGGGGAGGTGTCATTTCCTAGGCTTCCAAGAAGCAATCTTGCATTACAAAATCGACAATGGAATCTGATTTTGTTGTGTTAGCTGCTGTTGGTAAAGAAGCAGAATGGCTAAGGAACTTAGTGTATGAGATTCTTTTGTGGTCAAAACCGATAGCACCTATATCTATCCTTTGTAATAATGCAGTCGCTTTGGCTAAGGCTTACAGTCAGGTCTACAATGGCAAGTCTAGAAACTTAGGTGTTAGACATAATATGATTTAGAGAAGTAATCATGAATGTTGTGATTTCGATAGAGTTTGTGAAATCGCAACAAATTTGGCAGGTCATTTGACTAAAGGTCTGACAAGATACTTAGTGCACAAGTCTGTTATAGGGATGAGATTAAAGTTCATTTAATCGGTAATGGTGAGACACCCAATTCCCTTCTAATATGACATTAGGAGTTTAATTCAATGTGGAAAGCTCATACTTATAAATTGGAACACATGAAGTATATTATATGTTTGGTGAATGCGGAGTGCATGCATATATAAGATCAAATTATAAGCCGGTACGAAAAAAAGGTGGGGGTCAAAGGGACCGCGCCCCCTTGCAGGGTCCTAGGGGCAGCGCCCCTAGCGGACGATTATGGTAAAATTAATAAATCTCGTTAGTTTTAGAAACCATTCATTATGCCATTAAATTTGAGATTCTCCTAACTAATTTAAAAGATTAAACCCTAATCTGTCATGTATATATACGGCTTTTCCTTTGAGTCTTATATAGAACTTTTTCTTCAGCTCTTCTTCTTCTAAACGATGTCAGGATTCTTTGCGATTTGGCTTGTGTTTCTATGCCTAGATACACAAGTGTCATTTTGGATTATCCTAGACTAGATTTCCTATAACTTAGACATAGAATGGAAATATTAGTTCGGAAAGTGAAATCACACGATCCATAAGCAATTCGGTTCTCCACCATCACCCTAGTCATATATCCTCCACCATTAACTCTGGCTTCTCTTGTTTGATGAAGAAATGAGAATCGTGATATATTTTTCCTTCATTGCCACTGTCTATAGGTGGACCATCATTTCCGATCAATATCTAAGGAGACAAAATGATAGATCAACTCTTCCTTTCTCCTTTTAGAACCCTAATCGTCACCTGTCAACTATCATTTTCTCTCTTTCGGTTTGGATGACATCGTTTTATATAAAAACATATGTATTGTTTCCCAAAGTCAATAAAAAGAGTCCGAAGGCATTTTTAAATTTCCATATTATGTATTTTTCTTAATGTTCTTGACTAATATTTTATAAAAATAAAAATAAAATTTTTAACAAATATATATATATATATATATATATATATATATATATATATATATATATATATATATATATATATATATACTTGTTTTATTTTGAACCTGTTTTTTTAACTCTTTAATGGTACAATTTACTTAAATATTATCCAACTTTTATCATGTATTTCTACTAAAATTAAAAGAAAAAATGGTGTAAAATCTGAAGTAAATATATTGATCCATATTTGTGAAAATATAAACGTAAGCGTTATATATGGAAAATCAAATAATGTTTGTGAAAATGGTGATGCCAAGTTGTGAAAGGGTATGTGGTCATGTATTTGATCCATGCCACCTAAGGGTTAAGTTGATTCTCTAACTATGGAACAAAAATCATACGCATATTATCAAACTGGAATTTGGAAAGCTAATATATTATATATGTATGCATATTAGTCTATATATATGCATATATATAGAAAACTCAACGCACACAATTCACAAACCAATCTAAGCATGCACCACAAAGATTAGGCATGAGTTCATGACGCAGTCTTTCTAGTCTTCAAATTAATTAAGTGACATAAACATAATATGCTCTTCCTTTCTTTCTTGAAATCATGTTATAAAGGCCCAACAGGGGGTAATGTGCGTCACTTGTTCCTTTTTAATCTCAACACCCTTTCTCCTTTTCTTGGAAATGCGAATCCCAGATCGAGTAATATTGGAAGTGCATTTGGTCAAGTATATGACTTGGAGGCTATCGCAGTTGTTCACCAAAGCTAGTAACCCTCTATCATCAAGTTTTTCACATCCGTTGACATGAAGTCGTACCAAATTACGACAATGCAATCCGATGGACACCCAACCAGAATAATCAACTTCTGTACAACCTGATAAGTTCCACTCTTCCAACAATGGACACCCTTTCGAGATTCTTGATATTACATCATTCGTAACAAAGCTACACGTTGATAAGTCAAGGATTCTAAGATTTGCACCAATGCCTAAACCAATTGCTATGAATCCATCTCCCCTTGAGCACTTATGAAGACAAGAAAGATTCAGATACTCTAAACCACCCCCACTTAGAATCCCAGTAACACCCATCGGGTCAAACGCACAATTATCAGCTTCTAAACAAGTCAACGTTGGAGAACACCCTTGGAAGCTTACCCCAACTATTTTATCGCACTGAGATATTTTGAGTGCCCTAAGTTGACGACAGTTTTGCGACAGTGCCCAGATTCCACGATCAGTTATGCGGACGCAACATGCAAGATTCACTTCTGTTAAAGATTTACAAGATTCTGATAAAATTTCCAACCCAGAATCTTTGATCATAGAACAACGAGCGAGACTGATAACAGATAAGGATGGACAACCGGAAGCAATGTAGGAAATTCCAACATCAGTGACAGCTTGACGACAATCATCTAGATAAAGAGAGTGCAGATTTGACCCATAATGTTGCAATTTAGTTAAACTTGAATCTGAGATGTTTTCACGTCCGCTTAAGGACAACGACTGTAACTGTCTGAAGCGGTTAAGCAATTTGTCGACTGCAGCTGAATCAATGTTGATGCTAGCAGAAGAGGAGCAATCAAGTTCCAAGGTTTTATGACTTGAACTTTGAATATCGAGAAAACAGTGACAAGTTAGACCAAAAGAGTCTTGATCAAGATTTAGGTCTAACTTTTTGTAGATCGAGTGTAAGAGTTCATCTGGAAAGTGCAAAATCCCCGATTGGGGATCTAATTTATTATCTCCTACGTCCAATTCCATATGGATAATGAATTGACAAGCTCTAGGCTCTAGCTATACTCCAGATGTTAACTTTTGAAGACGCTGAATTTGATCAAACAGTATTCTCACTGTCGGAAGCTGTTGAAAATACGGGATAAGATACATTAGATGATAGAAGTAGTATGGCCATAAATTAAAGAAGATAAACGAACATGATCGCATTGCGATTAAGAGCTACAGATGATCATGGATATCAAGGTACACGTTATGATAAGCTACCAAACAAATCCATCATATCAATGCACGAATGTTATTTTCCATTTTTTATGTTTAATCAATAAAATCGTGAGAACAATTTCAAGAAGCATGAAGACGATGGCTACATAAGAAATCAGAAAAAAAAACCTTACCTGCGGTAGCAGATGAAGACGAGACAGAGGTTGAAGATGACGCCGGCTACGAGACCTGCGAAGGGCGATGGACGAACGTGAGTATCCGATTTGACGAAAGCTGAGGACGAAAGTAGATGCGGCGATGGGCAAGTTGTCCGCTTCTTTTTTTTCTCTTAATTAGGTTAGGCGTTTTTTTTTATCATGTTAGGAAGATGTGAGAAGAGCGCCCAATTTTGCATGGGGAAAGACGGGAAGAGGTTTTTAAACCCAAAGTTCACAAATTGTTACGAAATTAAAAATGTTTTGTTTGTGCTGCAGCAATAAGTTAATTACAATTTATAAAGCATCGTATTTCTAAATATTATTAAAACATAACATTTAATTCTATACTTAAGAAATCAGGGTAATTCATTGCATTTCAATTTTATATTCTAGACCTTTAGATTATTTGCTACATCATCCTTTGACCCAAAAACCCGTTGCCTAATGTTGGCTTCCATTCGTCATTTACTCTGTGTATCTCTTCTTCCGATCATAACCTAAAGAAACAGATAAACCATTCCCTTATACTTTAATCGGCCAAGATGACACCTCTTCTAATCTCCATCGCCTTTATACACCTCTTCTAATCTCACTGGTGCTTCCCTCTCCACCGCCTACAACAAGATGACAGAATACCCCACACTATTCAATCGCCAGGTAGATTTTAGGGCTTTCTCTTTCTAATTTTGTAGAACCGGTTTTTTTTCACTTCCATCTTTCGTTTTCAACCTTCGACTTAAAATTGACCGGCGATTGTGAAGAGACTTCTGGAAGGAGTGGAGATCAATGGTGGATCGACTGTGTTCCCCTATAACGATGTCGGACTTCGGCTTCTGGAGGATTTCGTCTTTGCAATTGAGTTTTGTTTGTGGAAAAACTTGATGAGGCCGACGGCAACCATCATGAAGGTACTTGAAGCTTCCAGATTGTGTTTGGAGGTTTTTATGATATGTTATTTCTTGATATTTTCAACATTTGTGCAGATACTTTTACATGGACTAAAGTTATGACAATATGAGAAGGGCCTTCCGCAAGATTTTCAATGGCTGGAAGCACTTTACATCCACAACATGGAGGTGTTTATCTGAGCTTATTATTATGTTTATTTTTATAGTCAATTAATATGTTCATCACTTTTTGCAGAGTACAACAATGTCCATGCATATCGGTTGTCTTTATCTGAGGACACAAAGGCACTAAATCAACTGGCTCTTCCAGCATTTCATTTTGAATCTTGAAATGAATGTTCCCAATATATTTGTCATTTGGCTATAATCTAAGTTCATCTAACTTGATCTAGAACTTTTTGTACATTGCATTGTTAATACCTCTATATAGTAATTTATTATATATTTGTAGAATACTCTTATCCAAGAAGGCAGGGAAATGGTATCAGTCCTCTATGCATACAAGAGTTGTGTCAAAGCACTTCCTCAGGTTTGCTAAAGAAAATTCTTGAAAAGTATTTTTTATTTATAAAATAAAGGAGAGTTATTTATCAGGATATTTGATTTTTCTATTTAAAAGACCAATTCATTTATTTTGCAAATATATTTTGTATAAATTCATAATTACTTCTATAGGCTAGATCCCCTATAATTAATGGGTGGTTATGGTCTCTTTGTATTAATAGAAGTTAAAAATAAAAAAGACTCATATGTAGCCTTTTGGGAAAAGAAGTTTGTATAACTTTTTCTGTTTATGACTTCTTAGACATCTACAACACGTCATAGATACAATGAGTAATGACGTTTCCTATTTTTATATTCAATTTATTAGTTTATTATATTCCCATGTTTTCTCTTACCATTTGATTTTATAAATAAGTAATTGTGATTTATTTCATATTTTGTATTCAATTTATTAGTTTATTATATTAGGCAGCCTTAGCTATCAAAATAAAAAGGTTAGAATTAAATGTCATCACAAACATAACTATAAGTTTTTCGTAATTTATTATCACATAATAACTTTTATTTTATAAATAAATATAGATAAAATATTAAGACATTTTGTCAAAAAGTAAAATTAAAATTATATTAGTACTATATATAATGTGATTAACATAATAGTTATTATTAACTTTATTTATATTATTAATACCGTAGCTAAACAAGCAAATATTAGAGGTAAAGTCGTAAAGATAATGAATTAGTGACGATATAGTGTTATGATGTGATATTTATATGTACATAAAACCTTAAAAAGTTGTTCTACAGTATACTTTATTCTCTTTCTAAATCAGACACCGGACTTTTCCCTTTTTTTTTTTGGACACCGATTTTTCATTATGCTTCGTTTCTCTGCACATGTCGGCTGTTTTATTCTTCTTATCTTAAATTTTGCCGACTAACTGCTCTGTCGCCCAGTCATATTTATTCTGCGTTTCTTCTCCTTTTTCTTTCGTTGCTGCCTTGCTATTTTCTCTTACACGGTTTCTTCTTTAGGTATGTTCTCTAATCCTCCGTCTATAATCTGATGTCTGCACCTTCGACTAACCCTTTTTGTAGATTGGTTTGTGTTGGAGACGATGGTCTGGCGACTTGAAGTGTTTTCCACAAAGCAGCGCTTCCCTCTCCTTCTCCATGTGACTCCTGCTTCGATCGTCTGGTGTTTCTCATTAATTTTGTGTTAAAAAGCACAATTTCAGGTTATTTGTTTATCCTCTTTCATTCTTTCTATGTTCTGTGGCTGGTTCTTCGATGCACATGTGACTCCCTCTCCTTTTGTTATCTCCATCTACCTCTAACTTCTGTCAGTGTAGTGTTGGGGGTGTGCGATGGAGGTGATTATCCCGACTTCGCTGTCGATTGATGCTTCGATTGAGTAAATCTTCCAAATTTTACGCCTCACTGCTTCCTACTTTCTTATGGGATAGCAACAGCAAGTTTCAGGTAAAGTCCCATTTCTGTTTTGGTTTTCTGTGCGTATATGTCTATATCCCCTGTAATAGGTGTCAGTGTTCCTCTGATTTATATGTAATAATGTTTTCTTCTTGCTGTTTAGTTGGTTATAATGGTTGTCGTGCTTCATTAACAGATATGCGCACCAGGTGTTCGTTATTTTGCCTCCTATTTATTAAGTGTTTGTTCCTCCACCGGTTTGAACACTAGCACAAGAGAGTCGTTATTGTTATGTAGGGGAACTCATGAATTGAAAGAAGTCTTCACCAATATATACTTCATTACTTCTACCCTCATGATTTCTCCAAAACCCTCGAACGATTTCAGTCAGAAGCTCTATTTCAGGTCAGTTTATCCCTCCAATGTATGTCATATATGTATATTATATTGTCACCACATATGCATATATTCATAGACGTGTCCCTTTACTGAATATGCGTGTCTACAGGTCGTGAAATGGCAGGACCTTGAAATAAGGCACCCAACACTTGAAGCCATATGAAATTCCATGGATAGAGGTCAGTATTTGTCAATAATATTCTATTTTCTTTAATATTCTTGACATGTATTAGGATATTTTAAAACCAATTTCGTTTTTCTATCAACCAAAACTCTTGAATGCCTTTCAATATTCGCATATAGGTTAGGAGGGAAGGCTTGGATGTGTAAATACTAAATAGAGGAAATCAAGCTTAAATGGACATTGATGTCTGAATAACAACGCAGCAGGTGATTTAAAAGCGAGTTTTTTATGTATACGAGGTTAGTATTATGGAATGAAGACATTATAATATAGCTTTTGGTATAATTTTCTTATATTTTAGTAATCTGCTTTGTTTATACTCTGACAAACATAACAGATTTTTTTTTCCTTTTTTTCATTTGCATTTGCATCTGCAATCTGCAATCTGATTTATTTGGTATTGCCACAGTGTAACATGGCATATTGTGAATAAAACGGATCCCTATTTGATTTCTGTTGTCATAACTCCATTTCTATTTCTAAATGCAAGGTAAGTGAGATATGTTAAGGATCAAGGAGAGGTGGTCATCAGGTATGTATGTTTGTTGGAGCAAAATTCAGGGAGTTGCAAGATTAGGTGAAGGCTGATCTCATTTTTTCTGGCATCTCCCGGTGGACTGACAGTTCTCGTGCAAAGAGTGTGCAGAAATTACAATTTTGCCCCCTTCAAAAAATATGCACACTGAAGATTTGTTGTGTTTAGCTCATACTGAATTGCAACATTTTTTAAAAAAATATTTTTAAAAAGTAAAAAAATGCATGGAATGTAAAAAAATATTTTTAGAAGTTTTTATTTTAAATGTAAAAATTTCCAAAAAATGCTAGATAGCTAAGATCATTATATGGTTATATGATTCCAATGTTGAGTGTACAAAATAGAAACATCATTTTTTTTTAAAAAAAAAAAAACTTAAAACCACGTGCTTTTAAAATAATTTAGCAACATACTTCTATTTTTAACCAAAACAATAATGCCCAAGGAAAGGAAATTATACACTGAAATGAAACAATTCGACAACCGCTGAAATGAAACCAGTTTTCGGCCGGAAACTATTTTCGGAATAAGACAAATCGAAGTCGCCGCATCGCGCGGCTACACCACTAGGATCCATGTTCACTGGCATGGACCCAAGAGCCAAGAACATATAATTAATTTCGTTGATTTTACTACAGTTTGATTTGATATAACTATAAATTTTTTTATTGAAAGATCACATAGTTTAATCTTACAATAAAACGTGGTCAAACTGATCAAGCAATCACAACAAAATTCTTATCCGCAATCAATTGATCAGGAATTGTCACTTTTTTTTGAACAACTGAATCTGGAATTGTCACTTAAGCAAGCACTCTTCAGTATTTTCAACTAATTAAGAAGCAAACCCAAATTTCATCAACATAAATAACTAATGTCATACCCGTCCGGTGGACAGGTTGACAAATATATGAATAGTATTTTGCTTTATCTTAAGCTTACTGCATATTACTTTCATTCATTTATATATTAGTTCAGATAAAATCACCCACAACGACAAACCAAGTAATATCTTATGGAGAAACCTAGTAAGATCATTTGTCATATGGCACCCCAACAATAATGTGTTTCGTCATAAGGACAAAAAAAACATGAATGTACCATGTCATTCCATACATTTAAAGTTATCGAATAATAAATATGTCTAAAACCTAATATAAAAAGTTTAAACTACCTAATAATTTCAATTAACCTATAAAAAAACTGAAGACTACGATAATATGAAAACTGAAATTTGAAAATTGGAAGAGAAAGGCAATTTAGAAAACAATGTCAAAAAACTTAAAAAGTAAAATGAATTCAACCAACATTATCATCTTCCAAAGACTCGTCACACAATCGTGGAAGTAGACGCTTCATTGGTGTTATTGAGGATCCGATAAACGATTTTTCAGAAGAATCAACTTCAATAACAGCACAAGCATCCTAATTGTAAAAAAAATGGAAAAGGAAAATAAGAATAATAACTAACAAAGTAATGTATCAAATGAGGTGTCAATAATAGTTGAAATTTTGTACACAATATATTGTAACTTACTTCACTTTCTCCACCATCTTGTAATCCACATATGGAGATAGGTGTCTTAGACATATCATCTTCAATAGTATCATCACCAACCTAATTGAATAGATCAATGAGAAGAATAAGAAAACTTCAAATGTATCAAATGAGGTGACAATAATCGTTGAAATTTTGTTCCATATCGTAAGGAAGATAGAAACTATACACAATATGTTGTAACTTACTTCACTTTCTCCACCATCTTGTAAGCCACATATGGAGATAGGTGTCTTAGAAATATCATCTTCAATAGTATCGTCACCAACCTAATTGAATAGATCAATAAGAAGAATAAGAAAACTTCAAACCTAAAAAAAATATACAACAATAGTATAAAAAAATATAATAATACATTGTCACATCTGTCACTATCTTCCACATCCTTTTCATCAGATACACTTTTTGTAATACCATCATTTTCATTACTATTAGAAGCAACCTAATTATAAGAAAATAACATAAGTAAAACCATATGACAAAACATAAGTTACAAGTTACATTATTATATATATTTCATATGTCTAACCTCATACATAGGTGCCACAATAGCATCATCTTTCATATTACCAGAAGCATCCTAGTAAGAAAAAATAAAAGATAAATAATAAGAATATCAAATAATGTAATTGAACTAAATATATAACAATTTAAACTGAATTGAAAGAAAACATGGTATGAATTAATTATTGCACTCAATATTATTTACTTTATAAATGAGCTTGTCAGAAACATCAACCTGATGATTATCACAAACGACCTAATAATTGTGCAAGTGAAATACATAAAGAAACATAAGATATAACGAATATAACTTATATATATAATTTGTAGTAAAAAATACAATAAGCAGTACCGTTATGGTTGATGTTGTTGATTTAGGTGACACTGATTCAACAACATTTGTTTGAATCGGAAATAAACCAACATAATCCTAAGTGTGTACACAAAAAAAACAATATCAAAGTAACAAATGAAGAATTTCAGTATGTAACAGAAATAAAACTGGTAAACAAAATATTATAACTTACATCTTTACATTCCGTATGATTTAATTCCGAAATAGAAGCACTGAAACCCTCATCTTTGACATTACGTAAGTCATCCTAATACGAAAAAAAATGAATAATGAACTTATTAAATTAAGATAATTTAAGAAAATATGTAGTAAAAATCATTTAATAAACGAAACATGATCCGTAGCATAATTTGTAAATTTAAGATTATTTACATGAGAATTGCACTTATGAAAAACACAAACTCCTTGATAAGCAAACAAAAAAATAAATACAAAAACAAAAAAAATACATATTGTAAAATAATATATAAACAATACAATAAAAAATTTATAATGTAAGATCCAATAAACTTTACCGTTGATGCAGATGATGGAGACAACAATGATTCGACAACAGTTGTTTGCAATTGAGAAATGACCTCATTTGTAGGCAACGTCTTTTCTTGGTTTGGAATTTTACAAGTTGCACCATGGTATTTAGTAACCGTGAAACAACGCACATATTATGGTGCCAAATTGTAATGGTCAATCTTAATTGAAAAAACAATACTTAGACCACATAACCTTTCAAACAGGAAAGTACGTACCCAATTAGGATCATTACCACCCTATAAAAACATAATAAAATAGTATTATATGTAAGCATTTGTGTGGGTGATTCTATATATATATATATATATATATATATATATATATATATATATATATATATACAACAGTACCTCCAATAAATTCATATTAACTAATTCACCAACAGTAAGGCCAATAAGTTGAGTAACATATTCATTAAAGAAAACACTTCTCATTTGCTTATCCTTATCAGCTACTTCAACTACCAACTTATACCTAAACAAAAGTTTTTAGAAACATCATATAAGTATTATAAAATCGACACAGTTCATTAAATTCATTTAAATAGTACGAATGATTGTGCAAAGCAAAATCGGGTGTAATGGGTTATATAAGAAACGGTTATACCCACTAACCCTCAACTTTAATAACATGGTTTCTACACTCCAACAACCTTGACAGTGATAATTCCATTAGTGCATTCAACCGTTTTTTTTAATTGATTCAACTAACCTTTAATTTAACAAACAATAGATAAAAAACAGCAAGAAAAAACCAACACGTATCATTTCACTTTTACTCATTAAATATCTTACATTTCAAACCTTTCTACCTGCTTAATCGAATTACAAAGTAAATTTTTGGTTAAATAACTTTTTTTATTATCTGTGTTTTTTCAACAAAAATTCAAAACTACATATAAGGTAAAACACTAAAAATGCAATTAGGGGTAAATCGGTCCCAAAAAAATTAGGCAGGAGGAGTAAAATGGTACAGAATGTTTAAAACGAAATTCCTTTATAGAAATACAAATTTTGATTTCGGAAAACCCACGATTCATGAGCATCAGCATTTTTATTATTGTTACCAACCCTAACCCATTGATTATCAACCAAAAACCAAATATACCACAAACAATGATCAATTTGTAAAATATATCCAACTTTTCCCCCAAATTTAAAAAGACGTGATGTGTACAAACCATACACATTGTTTGTCAATGGTGGAGAAATTTTTAAAAATTCTTCCGAATATGCATCAATCCGCAAAATGTCACCATTTGATAATAAAATGTAAACCACACCTCCACATACGATAGCTTCATTAGAAACAGGACAGACAGAACATGGTAATAGTATATTACCAATATCCGTCCATGCAAATGTAACAGAATGAAATATTTCCAAATGGAGTTGGTCATAAACAACAAAATCATCTATAATTTCCCTACAAAAAAAAACATACAACTCATTAAATATAGACATAATATATAATCAAAACAACATCACATATAGACATAATATATAACATTACATAAAATAAAAGAGTTTCATACTAATTACAAAAAAAAGAGTATCATGTTTACTCTGTATTAAACACAAAAAGGAGTACAACATAGTTCACATACACTATGTTTTTCCATGCTATGACATTCTCTTTGGCCATGTCCATAGCATCCTCCATTTTTTCTCTTGGAATGGTCATGTTTAGCATATGTTTGATGTATGCTATTCCATCATCAACTGTTGACATTGGATGTTCTGTTACAAACATGTGAATAAGCTTCTCAACACGTTTAGATGGTAAGTTCATCAAAAAGTGTGGGAAATTGATTGGAACAAACACAATCCTGTGTTCAACATAGAGATGTTCAATCTCTCTGAATTTGTGTGCCCTAACTATCGTCTTGAAGGGTCCCAAACATTCATCATTTAGAATTGGAATCATTGACAACCCACTGTTTTCTTCGGTTGGCATATGATATCAGTTCCCCAAAGTTGTATACCCAAGGCTTTTAGAAAAACGACCAAGCATCTCCATGTTGATCAAATCGATGTTGACATTAGAAATAAAGTGAACCTTTGTCTGTTGATACGCCTTACATGGGTAGTCTGTAAAAAACCCACCATGAACAACACGAATGGTGAATCTCTTCTCGTTTGCCTTCTCGTATTCTACAACCGGTGTGATTCTTGGTGGTTCGGCGCTTACACTCCATAGTTGGAAGTTCGGACGTGCCCACAGATCAGCATTCATCTTCGGTTCAATTGATCGTGGTAGTTTTTTTCAAAGAGGAAGAGCAAGAAATCGAAGTTATCGTAACGTAATGAATATGTGAGAATGACGAAATTGACATAAGGGAAGGGTTTAAAAGGATCATCATTCGGAGGTGAAGGGACGTCGACTGAGGCCATCACTTCTCCAATTAATTGCAGGCTACAGGGGAGGTGGATTTTTGAACGACGGCTACGATAATGATTACCCATTTTGTATTATACATTAATATAGTATTTACATCAATATCTATAATATTAATTAAATTTAATATCCATAGTAGCTTTGTTTTTTTATTATCATACAAAAAAATAAATTTATATATAAATTTATAATAAATATATAAAATGAATTTTTTAATTCATATGGGTTAGGGTTGACCCTCATTAGGTCATGTACAAATTTGAAAGCAAAATTAATGATTGGGAAAATTAGGTAAAGTGTACTAACTCATAAATTAGAATGAAATTTATGGTATATTAAACATATAAATGAAACAATAATTTGCAAAGTAAAATACCTAAGTAAAAATAAATTTAACTTTAAAGTAGCTTGTTACTTCTTGCATGTAAAACAAACATTAACATTAAAGACAAATTTTTTTACTTCATAAATGTAGTCCCCAAGTTGTCAATAAGAACATACATAAATATAGGTTATGTTGTGACTACAATTAAACCGCAATTGAAAGATATATTCAAACAAAATTAGTCATTACAACCTAAAAATGGAAATAATTGGTTTCCCTTCTTCAACGCATATATAAACAAATAATTTCAGATCATATAACATAAACCAACATAATTTGATGATTGAAATTATAAATTACAAAAAAAACAAAGTATAAAATGAAAACCAAATATTTAAAATATAAAACCCAACAAATAAACAACGGTTAATCAATTCAATGTCAAATAAATACAATCAAATAAATCTTCTTGGCATAGTTATCGTCTCAAAATCCGAACAAAATGAAAAGACTTCATGACAACGATGAACCGGAACAACACACTCAATTCTTTTTCCTGTAAAAAAAGAAAGTTCATTGTTTCGATAATCTCACCATTCATGTGCATCTGCATTGATGCTAATAACATCAACTTCAACCCACTGATTACGAATGAGAACCCAAATACCCCACATACGATCTCCACTCAGACAAAAAAATCCCAACTTTCCCTCAAATTTTATTAGCCTCGATGTATACGACATGTAATTTATATTTGTAGAAGGTAAAGAATATGATTACATATTCTTCAGAATATGCATCAAACTACAAAATTTGATAGTTTAACAATAAGATGTAAACTACACCTTTACTTATGATTGCTTCGTCCGATACCGGATGAACAGAATATGGTAACCGAATATTACCAAGGTCCCTCCATTCCCATGTAGTGGACTGAAATAATTCTAGTCGGAAGTTTTCATAGTCATGATCGTTTGTCACGTCACTACAACGAAAGAAACATAAAAGTTATACAAACAAATAAAAAAATACTTAAATAATAATTGTAAAAAAGACTTACTCTGACTCTGCATATGATAAACGAATTATCTTGAAATGCAACGGGTTCGAACACATAACCACCATAGCAAACTTGACCGCAATGTACTTATATATCGGAAATGGTAATGTTCTGCAATCTAATGTCGTCAGTTTACAAATAAATAAAAACTTTTTCAGATATTCATCCGGACAATCACATTCACCAAGAATGAGTCCATTCAATGAAGTTGCTAAGATTGTACACGAATTTGGTATACAACCAATGTCAAAGTTAATCGAACCACAAGACGAAACAAACTTACGTTCTATCGATCCCCAAACTTTCTTTTGTTGAACAATAACTCCATGAAGCACATTATTTTTCCCCTTGAAAAGATCAAGAGCATGGTTGTTGTACGTTAGTTTTTCAAGATGTTTACTTGTACAACGTATGATATGAAATGTCTTTAATGATGTTCTTGAAAGAATTTCAATAAACACGTCAGTGTCCAATAATGCCTGCTGTAAAACAATTAAAATAATCATATAATGAACAAACATAAACTAAAAATAAATATTTAAATTGCATATAACATATGAATGATTAAAAAGGTAGATGAAAGTATAAAAATAACCATTATAAATACAATGTTAGTATATTGAAAGTAGAATGACCATTATGCCCACACCCCTCCCATTTCACCCCACACCATTTATAGATTTATTTAATAATTACCAATGTCGATAACTTAACAGTAGGGTTGACATAAACATAATTGAAAAAGATACCTTCGTATGGAGTTGTGTTTGACGATTGATTTCATAACCTTCAGCATCATCCATTCTTAATTGTATCAAAGAAAGTTGTTATATTGTTTCAGATAATTACACACCAAAAAAGAGTTTCTTTGTCTTGACAGATATGAGAAAGAAAAAGATAACATGTATAGCAAACAACTTACATCAAAATAAAATAAAACATAAATTCATCTACAATTTTACTCAAAAACAAACAAAATTTGGCAAAATAAACCGTTTTTGTTTTATGTAAGACGTTTTCTTTACAAACAAAACAACAAAATCAACAAACACAACAAAACAACTTGAAAACACAATACAATATTTCAATTGTTAAACGAATTACTAATCCAATTTCACAAAACTCATACTTTTTGTCGCATAAATAACTTACAAACATATAAACAAACATTAAAAAAAAGATAAGTAATAGCTAATTTGAAGTTAATACCTTGTATCACCCTTTTATGTATTCCAATTTCAGATTGCCCAACTAATTGAAGAAGAATGAAGGAAGTTATGGACACAAAGAATGTTTCGATATACTACAATGCACATAATTCATTTGATCGCAAGTTATAGAATAAACGTGCAGAGCAAATCCGATGTAACAGGTTAAAGAAGAAACGGTTACATACACTACCCCTCAACTTTACTCCCAAGTTTTCGTAAACTCCAATCATGTAAACCGTGCAAATTCCATTATTGCCCTCTATTTTTTATATTCATATAAATAACATTTAAATAAACAAAGAATAGATAAAAAACAAAAGAAAAAAGCAAAAACACATAATTTAAATTTCCCTCATAAAATTTCTTATATTTTTAATACTCTGAAACTACTTAGCTGAATTTAGTAGGTATAAATTAGGTTAAAATGCTTGAAAAAACCAAAGAGAAGTTACATATGGGGGAGGGGTAAAACGGTCCAAAATCAGAAAAGATGCAGGAGGGGTAAAATCGTCCAAAATCATTAAAACGAATAACGAATATGTTACATATGGGGGAGGGGTAAAACGGTCCAAAATCAGAAAACATACCTTTTTATTGTAAATAAGAATTAGAATGTAAAGTATGATGCTATAATTTACAGTATATTGGTTAATTAAGAAAAGATAACATAATTACTTTTTATATTATTTGTGTTTTTCACAACAAAAACTCAAAACTACCTGTAACATAAAACACTCATAATGCAAGCAGGGGTAAAACGGTTAATAATCATTAACAATGCAGGAGGGGTAAAATGGTTCAATATCATTAAAACCGATTAGAAATCTGTTAATGAAAATTCATTTCTATTTGAATCATATTGCTATGATTGGTAGATTTTCAAAGTAAAAATATTTAATATAAAGAATGAAAGTGGGATGCTATGATAAACAAATCAATTAAAGAACATTGTTATTTCTTGCATATAACCATTATGTAAGGAGGGTGTGTCTCTCACATTTAAGCATGCAATAGAAACTTAATAAATCAGATCTGGATTTCCTTAAATTGCAGGAGAGGAATATAGTTTTAGCCAAAGAATTTGTTGCATTAAAGTTGTAAGTGGAAGACACAAACCTCAGTTTTCAGTTTTTTTTTTTTTTTTTCAGATTTAAGTTTTTTCTAGATATATAAATCAATTGTACATCTCCGACAAATGTATTGTAAATAAAGTTAAAAGATGTAACTATTTAAGCAACGTACTTTCAAATATAACATCATTTTTTTAAAAAAATAATGCTATTTTTCTTATTCATATTTTATTTGACAACCCATAATCATTTCAATACAAATGGGGGAGGGGTAAAACGGTCCAAATTCAGAAAAGATGGGGGATGGGTAAAATCGTCCAAAATACTTACAACGAATAACGAATACGTTACAATAACAAAAAAACATGCCTTTTAATTGTAAATAATAATTAAAATGTAAAGTATGATGTTATAATTTAAAGTATAATGCTTAATTAAGAAAATATAACATAATTACTTTTTTTATTATTTGTGGTTTTTACAACAAAAACTCAAAACTACCTATAACATAAAACACTGATAAAGCAAGCAGGGGTAAAACGGTTAAAAATTATTAACAATGCAGGAGGGGTAAAATGGTTCAATATCATTAAACCCATTTAGCAATTTGTTACAATAACAAAAAACATATATATATATATATATATAATATATATATATATATATATATATATATATATATATATATAAAACTATGATGCTATCATTTATTATTTTTCATATCAATTTTCATTAACATAAACTCTATTAGCAATTAAAATGTGTTATCTGCATAATTGACTTTCTTTATTGTTTGCAAACCAAAACTATCCATGACAATTACAATACAATTTGGGGTAGAAAGGGTAAAATGGTCCAAAACCATAAATGATGCATGAGGGGTAAACAGTACTAAACGAAATAAAATATGCTGAAAATATTTGATAAGGATATTCTGTTACTTTAATTGAAAGCAATAAAAGTGAAATAACATTAAAAACAATTAACTACAACTGAAAAACTTAGTAACATTAATCCAAAAAAACAACTAACCACTAAATGCAGCAAATCCAAAAGAACAATTCTCAAAAAAAAAAAAGTTCACAAACTTAATCTAAATCACTCATCAACATCTGATTCATCAAAAAGTTTCATGACTCGATTTCTTGATTGAATGGAAACTTTCACTTTCTTTTTCACTGGTATGAATGGTAGATCTACACCCAATTCTTCATCTTCACATAGATCTACAACTTCTTCCCACTTCCAACATAACAAAGCCAACTTCCTTTTTTCTTTTTTTGACAGTTTCTCCTCTTCTTTGGCAATTAAAGATACCTGAAATAGAAAAACAAACTTACATGCATATATATCTAAAAACATAAATAATAAAATCTTTACCTCTTCCGAAATTACCCTCTCCAACTAGGATTTGTAGGGACTGAAGTGAACACTAAAGTCGATTATTTCAACACTATCAGAGTCAGAGTGACATTTCGATTTTGATACATCTGAATGTGGATTGACTTTTCCATCAAAATCTCCAAATTTCTACAAAACAATTACAAAGAACACAATTGCTAATACATATTAAATCCAAATTTGAGAAATAAATGAAGATTTTGATACATCTGAATGTAGATTGACTTTTCAATCAAATTCTCCAAATTTATACAAAACAATCACAAAGAACTCAATTGTTAATACATATGAAATCCAAATGTGAGAAATAAATGAAATTTAAGTTCAACGAAATTGAATATACAATGAATAACAAATAAAATCAATCTATTACAAACACAATAAGTTTACCTTGTGTGAAGAAATAATAGACAAATTGCAAACAATAAAGTACAAACCATAGAAATCGATTGAATAAGTAAATTTTTACCTTAGGTGCAGACGAATTGGAATCATTAGGATCAAATGTCGATTGTGATACATCTGATAGTGGGTCGACTTTTCCACAAACATATTCAAAGTTCTACATAATAATTAAACATAACACAATTGTTATTACATAAGCAATCGAAATATGAAACATAGTTGAACCTTCACTTAAAATAGACATCCACCTTGAAAATACAATTAAGTAACAATCAAAGGATACGATTACAGAGTAAAAAAAGCTTACCTTATCTGGGAAAACACAACCAACGAATTGCAAAACATAAATGTATGGAATCAATTACTTTTACCAATTTAAACAAACAATTCCAATGAAATACAAACAACAGAAATCAATTAAACAATTGAATGTTTACCTCAGCTGAAGGTATGTCAGAGGAATTGGAATCATTAGGATCAACTGTCGATTTCGATACATCTTTCGGTGGATTCACTTTTCCAGCAACAACTTCAATGTTCTACATAAAAAGTATACGTAACAAAATTATTAATACATATGAAATCGAAACTTGAAACATTAATGGACATTACTTTCGATTATATCGAACTTGATTATACAATGGACTAAATATCAAATGAATCGAGATAAAAAGCTAACCTTACGTGAAGAAAGATTATACGAATTGGAAAAAACATGACATCAAACGAATCCATTAGTTTACCAATTGAAACAAAAAAATGCAATGACATACAAACAATGGAAATCGAATAAACAAATGAATTTTTACCTTAATTGAAGGTATCTTAGACGAATCGGAAGACATTGGAGCAACAGAAGCAACTATGTATTCCAACAATTGTCAATCGACAACTCTCATTGAAGCAATTACCTTGAAATTCAACTCTTTATGTAGGCAAGACGGTTAATGAAAGCCACCTGATTTCTAGCAACCATGGAATCGTGTGGTGCAGTTATCGATTAAAACCAATTTCCTGTTAACGGAAAAAGTCGGATGCGTGCTACACTTGAATGCAGTTTCCAAATCAACTGCTTCTTGAGGAAACAACAGCCAATTGTCTACAACGTGGGTACAGACGGAATCGTGCAGAGAAGAACCAGGAAGATGAACTGCAAGAAACCGCCAAAATCGAGTTTATGCGGACGAGATTGAAAGAACGTGGAGTTTTAAGGGCTGAGATTTTGAGGACGACGGTTAGACTCACCGTCGTCAATAGTATTAATAATATGATCTTAACATATAAACACCTTCGAAACAATTGTAGAACAAATAACCAAAACGATCAGATGTCAATCTAACTTAAGAAAACAGACTAGACGCTCGATGTTTAATTAATATAGCATATTAAAATAAATATCAAATGAAAATAAATAATAAGAAATACCCAAAATATGAATTAATCAATCGAAATTTTTTGAATATGCAAAAGATTAACTACCTTTTTACGTCATATCCAACTTGGATAATCGCAAGAAGAAATGTACATCGAAACGGAGTTACGGTTAGGGTTTGTCGGATAGGAGAGTTATTTATCTGGATATTTGATTTTTCTATTTAAAAGACCAATTCATCTCTATAAAACATATGTTTCTAAGTAATTTGTAAGAGTTTTGACTTTTCTAACCCTCAAAGTCTCAAAACTACCCGATTGTTATTTAAAATCCGATCGTTCTAA